GGAGGAGCAGGAGGAGGAGGAGGAGCAGGAGGAGGAGCAGGAGGAGGAGGAGGAGCAGGAGGAAGAGGAGGAGGAGCAGGAGGAGGAGCAGGAGGAGGTGTAATGTCAGGGTCAGACTGTTCTCTGACCCTGACCTCCAACTGACCCACATATATGCTTGAATGTAACGGTGACTATGAACTGACACCAGGTGATGGAACCCACCAACGGTCCGGGTCTCCCTCGGAGGCCTAGTGGTCCTGGTGGTCCCTTCATAGCCAGCTGGAGGAGGAAATGGTTGGAGAGTCAACCCTATGTAAACAAGAATGTTGATGTTTCTTCTTTGATGTAGTAGGAGCTTTGAAACCTTGGTCTGCTGCAGGATGGCCTGGGCCTGAGCCTCCTGAGCAGACACCAGAGTGCCGGCCTTTGGACCCCCGCCTGACTGAAACTACACACACACAAACACACACACAAAGGTTACAAATCAGACTCAATACTCCATCTAGTGGACAACCTGTTGCACTGCTACTGAAGTGAAGGTCTGTGCAGGTGTAACGGACATGTTACACCTCATGTAACGCGATGGTTGGACCGTTGAAATGATTGACAGCCAATTGGAGGGTTAGTCAAGGTCACGTGATCTGAGACTTTTACCCCTCACCCTGAGGCTTTTTAAAAGGTTAACAGAACCAAATGAGTCAGAGCTCAGGCTGTGAGGCCTGGAGCTTCACAGACGTGTCTTCATGTTACCGGGAGGATCATGACGTTGCCTGGAGGACCTGGTATCCCATCAGCCCCACTGAGTCCTGGTCGCCCCGGGGGACCCTGAGACAGAGGAGGACAGGGGCGGGGTGAATCACTCACTTATCATTCACACGTTGAGCCAGAGTTCAGTCCTCACCAGCTCCCCGGGGTCTCCTCGAGGTCCCACTGGGCCTGTGATTCCTGGAGGTCCTGCTTCTCCCTTAAAAAAACAAACCAAACCACAACAAGTCAGCTGTGGGCAATAAAAGAAAGTTCCATTTATATATATCTAAAGTCCTTCAAGCTCTATTAAAACACAGAGATTGGAATCAAATGTGCGTCTGCAGAACCAACCTCCGGTCCCGCAGGTCCAGATGGTCCTGTGATCTGGGTTCCCTGCAGAAAATTCACAAAAGTCTCTGTGAGGACACTGAGACAGTACTCCCTGATGAGACCCAGACTAGTTTTACTACGTTATACATGTTGACGTTACTGCGACGACGGATCCATCGCTGGGATCAAAGGTCACCTACAGTGACACCTGTCTCACATCACCATCAAACATCCAAGAGCAGTACAGTGTTTTTCAATCTTGGGGTTGCAGCCCCACATGGGGTCACTGGGGAATTCAAATGAGGTCATTATGATAAAACACACACACACACACACACACACACACACAGTGAGTGCAGTAGGTTCTGGTTCTAAACTGGTGTTCCTTCTCACCAGGCCCAGATATCCTGGTTCTCCTTTCTCTCCTTTCTCAGGGATGTCCTGAGGAGAGAACGCCAAGATGTAACATTCACCACAGAAGGATTTCTCCAAACCAAGATGGGAGCGTTGGTGATTGGACGATACCTGTGCGCTCAGAGAATACTCTCGCTCTTTCTGAGCCGGTCCGTACCGCTCGTCGTACTCTTCCTCGTACTCGTACCGGTCGACGTGGTACAAATCTGTGCCGTTGTCGTAATCCTCGTACTCCACGATCTGAACGGCAGCAAAGACAGACACAAAGACGGATTTCTACCTGGTTCTCCTCAGGTTTCTGCCTCGCTCTCTGCTGAGTCTCACCTCGTACTCTGTGACGTTGGGGCCGACGGTCACCGTGGAGGTGGAGAGGTCATCGTAGAGGTCGCTGTAGTCAAACTCCTCAAACTCCTCGACCACATGTTTCCTTGGCGGCCTCTCCACCTGACAACCACAAAGATGTCAACAAACGATGAAGAGGAAATGACATTTAAACAGGGTTTCTCAACCTTGGGGTCTGGACCCCACCTGGGGTCACCTGGAATTTAAATACGGTCAACTGAAATGTCTTGTAACTGATTACTGAAAATTACTAATGAAAATATTTTTTCAACGTATTATGATTCTTTTCAAAATGATCATGTGATCATGATGTCATAGGTGTGACTGTGTTCGTATCTGGACTCACCGTCGCTCCATGATGTCTCTGATGGCAGACAGTGTTTCAAATAAGTAGTTGTTAATTCAAAAACACACGCTGCGCTGTGTAATTCCACATCAAACCACAAGTCTGTCCTGGACTGTGTACCATACAGCTCTATCAACAGCATTAGACTGAAACAAATCTAAAAATACTGCAGCGTTTTCAGCGTTTTCAGCCTCTCGTCAGACGATAAACCAAACAGATGGCAGTGTAAGACAGATTTGAACCGTTTCCCAGGAGCGTGGAGCGCTGGCACAGGAGAGCCCACTGTAACAGGATGGATGATTCATTCAAGTTCAGAGGGCGGAGGACGAGAGCTGCAGCCGTGACTGACAACAGCTGAAGGATTCCAAACACAAACTGTTCAAACAGGATTTGAACACAATCTTGGTTCAGATTTAACTATAACCATAACCGTCACATCTAGTCTGGATCTGGTCATGTGACTTCACTCTCTGTCTCTAATGATCTATGATTCCCAGATGATTCTTTTTTTTCCCAGGGTTCCATGTGGTTTGGGCTGTGACTAAGAGTTTCTCGTTCAGAAACACAGCCTCGGGGCTGCTGCACCTTTAAATCCTCAGTCTAGATTTATAACCCCCCCCCCCCCCCCCCCCGTCCTCTGGTCTCTGTTATGTACAGACCGTCCAGGTTGGATGACATCATCACACGAGGCTGATGTGATCCCTGTGCTCCTGCTGCTGGAACTTTACCTCCTCAGCCTCAGTCAGGATGCTGTCGTAGGGCAGAGGGGCTTCACAGTCTGGGATGTAGTCCTGACAGTAGGTCTGTGCTGATGTGGGATCGTCTGTGATCAGCAGCTGCTGGATGTCTCCCTGTCACACACAAACATTTTTGCAGCTGTTAAACGTTATTTGTGGGTAGATTTTAACCCAACAAACAAAGAAATACAGTATTGTTTTTGAGGCATTTCAAAGAATCCAAATTCATTGACCTCTCAATATTTCAAGGATTTTGAAGACAAATATAAATCCCAGCAGGAGGATCGTTGGAAACATGTGATCATAAATAACACACATAAAGTTTTTACACTCAGGCTGTTGTTGTTGGATCTCGCTGAACAATGTGTGGTTCATTCCAGGAACGACACGTCGTCTCCAAATGTTGCCCCGTGTCTTTATCACCGTACACACTCATCCATTCAGATCAAAGTGACAACACATTTAGAATTCTCTGATTTATTATTGGTGCACGCTTAATTATCTGCAGACCTCTGAGGCTCCAGCAGCACATGAGGTCCACACACACACACACACACACACACACACACACACATCAAGGACCAAGTGCTCCGTTCAGCAGACGGACCACCTGACTTTACAACAAAAACGAGGTCAGAGTTCACGCTCAGAATGACCTCACAAAAAGATGGACGGTTCAGAAAAAGAACTCTTTAAAGTTTAAACTGCTGCAGACTTTTATTCATATTGGAATGTTTTTAACATTTAGATTAAATTAAGATTCCTGTTTACTTAACGTTCACTTTTATATTAGTATCATTACTGTAGTAGTACTACTATTGTACCTTAACATGTATTAAAGTATTGCTGATGCAGTGCGGCAATTAAACCACTGGAGGGCAGTGCTGGGGCCCTGCTTTAGATTGGTTAAATGAACACAGCAGCGACGAGTACAGACACTTCCTCACCACACGAGGAGCCGACGGTTTGTTCTTCAGCAGCCGACCACGTGTCGACCTCGACCTCCTGTCACGTTACGTAACCTCCTGCCACACACACACCCACACACACACACACCCACACACACACACACCCACACACACACACACCCACACACACACACACCCACACACACACACACCCACACACACACACACCCACACACACACACACCCACACACACACACACCCACACACACACACACCCACACACACACACACCCACACACACACACACCCACACACACACACACCCACACACACACACACCCACACACACACACACCCACACACACACACACCCACACACCCACGTGTCCGTCTGTGGTCTTACCTCAAACACGTATTCGTCCAAGAGGCGGGTTCCGAACACGGACACCCCCTCGGTGCTGACGTGGGGCTGGTGGGCTCTGAGCAGCTCCAGTGTCTCCACTTCTACACAGTCCAGATGGAGAGTCACTGATTGGCCCTCCACGCTGTAGGCCACGCGGTGCCACCTGACAGGACGAGACACGCGCCTGTTCACTGACCCTGTCACCGACGCTGCAGTACATGTCAGTCGTTCCACTTCGTCCAGATGTAGCATCAAACTGATGCTACGTCTGGACGTCTGTGAGCAGAGTCTGTGAACAGTCTGTGAACAGTCTGTGAACAGTCTGTGAACAGAGTCTGTGAACAGAGTCTGTGAGCAGAGTCTGTGAACAGTCTGTGAACAGTCTGTGAACAGTCTGTGAACAGAGTCTGTGAACAGAGTCTGTGATTGGTGGAGCTTCAAAATCTTCAGTGGTAAAACCACAGCCATATTTATTCCTCCTCCACATTTATTGTCTCCAGTCCGGTTGAGCTAAGCTAATCCTGCTAACACCAACCAAACTGAAGCTTGAATGTGTTTGTCCAGAAAGTTGATAAAACACTGATGTCAATGTCTGACATTTTGGGTGTTTGAATGCTCCTGTGTGTGTGTCTGTGTGTGTGTGTGTGTGTGAACTCACACTTGCCATCAGCCAGGTTGACCTTTCGAAAGGTTGGGTAAAGTTCAGGAGTGGGTTGACCCTGGTGGTCCTCGTACAGGAAGACGGGAGAGCGGCCGATCTCCAGGCCCAGCTGCTGCGTGCCCTGAACAACACGTGACACAAAGAAGAACTGAGAAGAAGAACTCACGTCTGTGGAGGACAAACATCTAAACCAGCCCTGGGCAAACTATGGCCCGGGGGCCTGATGCGGCTCGTTCAGCTTCTTAATCTGGCCAACCAAACTTTTCCAAATTATATATTTTTTATTTGATTTATTATCATTATACTTCTGCCTTTTCCCTGCAATACCCACATTTCCCCAATAGATGGTGTAGAAAATGCTAAAAGCATTTTAGCATTGTAGCCTTTATGCAGGATTTTTACGTCATTTATCTTAGTTCACATGAACGCTCCATCTACCTGCTCCTGACCCCCCCCATCCCCCCCACAACTAATCAGAGATGATGATGATGATGATGATGATGATGATGATGATGATGATGATGATGATGATGATGATGATGCTCACCTGGGGGTCGTAGATGGATAGAAGAAAGACCTGGGAGCCTTTGGAGGCTCGGACAGTGGTCATCACTGAGAAGTTTGCAGGAAATGGTGAATCTGGTGGAAGAATCAAACAAACAAACAAACAAACAAAGAAACAAACAAAGAAACAAACAAAGAAACAACCAAAGAAAGATGTTAGAGAAACGGAGCAAACGAAGGGAAACCTAAACCAAACAAAGTGAGAACCAACCAGGGAACAGCTGTTTGGTTGGAGCGCTCAGCTGAATCTTCTTGTCAATCTTAAAGGAAAGATCCGTCTCCTCCCTGTCCTTCCTGCTGGTGCACAGACCCGCCTCCAGGGACACGCCCTCCATGTCCTCTGACAGCTCCAGGACCTTCAGGACATCCACTGTGTTGGCTGAGGGACAGAGAAGACGCTCAGTGTCAGAGGTGGAGGTGTGGAGGTGTGGAGTCAGGTTCTTCACTCACTCTCTGACCCTCCTGTCTGAACGTCATCATTCTTAACCAATCACAGGGGTTTTTTCTGCTCCTCCAACATCAAACAAATCCTGTTTGAGTTGGAGCCTCATTCAAAGCCCAACGACACGTTGACCTTGAAACTCCACCAGCTGAGAGTCAATCCTACAACAACGCTGCCGTCTGATAACGCTAACGCTAACGCTAACCCAGCTGCATGAAGAAGAACTGAAAAACTTTACATCAGTGAGGGTCGGGCCCACAGGGGGCAGCATTCTCCCAAGAAGGACCATTAACAAAAGGTTTTCATCAATACAAACCCTGAAAAAAAAGAAGCAGAAAAAGTGGAGCGTGGAGTTGGCGTTTAAATGTAACCAGGAAACGAGAGCGGCGTTGGTGTGAAGAATCCTGGAACACATCAATGAAACGTTTTGGCAAAAACCTCACTGTTTGCTCGTGTGTGTGTGTGTGTGTGTGTGTGTGTGTGTGTGTGATGTCACTCTGCCAAAGAGTTATTTAAACCATTCATCCATCTGTGTGTGTTTCTGTTGGAGCCAGGAGTCACCGGAGCTGGAGCAAACTACTTAGTTCAGGGTTAGAGTGGGTGGGTTATTAATGTGGACATGGACGGGGACGGGGACGGGGACGGGGACGGGGACGGTCTCAGAGCTGCACCAGTACCTGAGGACAAGGTTATTGATTTACTGCTCACCATCTGGGCCAGAAATGTTCTGTAAAAAGATTCTGATTCCTAGTGAGTTTTTTGAGAGGAAGAAAAAAAACAAAGTGGTCGACGAATCTGGTCGTGTTCAGAATATTTAACATTTTTTCTTCATCTTTTATGAATTTGGCTTCAAGCTGTGTGAATATTCCGACGGCTGTGAGAAAACCCAGCTGTTTTATGGTTTGAGAATGTCAACAGACGCCTCCTGTTGTTGGTGTGTGACACTGCATCATCAACATGTGGCTGATAATTAATGCTGCCCTGTAAACACACAAAGATGAAATATCACATGTTGGCTGAGGCTCGTCCTCGTCCTCGTCCTCGTCCTCGTCCTCGTCCTCGTCTGTCTCTTGGTTTAATTACAGCATAATCCTCATTTGGACACAGAGGGAGCAACAGGCTGCAATCCACAGCAGAGATTAAAGCCAGAGAGCAACAAAGGACGCATGTGCTTAGTCAGTGACTCACACACACACTCACACACACACACACACACAGTGAGGCATAAAAATGTTGAAAAAAGAGTGGAATTCAACCAAACAAAGACGTTCTGTTTTTTTAGACAAAAACACATGCATCGCATGGACCTGACACAGCAGAGACAGAGAGACAGAGAGACAGGAGGGACAGCAGGGAGAGCAGGGACGGCAGAGACAGAGAGACAGAGAGACAAAGAGACAGCAGAGACAGAGGGACAGCAGGGGCAGCAGGGACAGCAGGGACGGAGAGACAGAGAGACAGCAGGGACAGAAGGGACAGAGAGACAGGAGGGACAGCAGGGACAGCAGACACAGAGAGACAGCAGGGACAGCGAGACCGAGAGAACGAGAGGAAGCAGGGACAGCAGCGCGTCACAGCTTGGACGAGGGCTCCATGACGAGACAACAGGACAAATGTGTAAAAGTGAGGTTTTCCAGAGGGCAAATAGCAGAGATGATGTGTGTGGAGGAGGACAGGCCTGGACTGGTGGGACTCCTCCACCATGAACCTCTGAGACTTAGGTAAACACCTCCATCTGCCCCACACCTTTTAACGCACACACACACACACACACTCACACACACACACACACACAGAGAGGCATAAAAATGTTGAAAAAAGAGTGGAATTCAACCAAACAAAGACGTTCTGTTTTTTTATACAAAAACACATGCATCGCCTGGACCTGACACAGCAGAGACAGAGAGACAAAGAGACAGCAGAGACAGAGAGAAAGCAGAGACAGAGAGACAGGAGGGACAGCAGGGACAGCAGGGAACGAGAGACAGCAGGGACAGCGAGACCGAGAGAACGAGAGGAAGCAGGGACAGCAGCGCGTGACAGCAGCGCGTCACAGCTTGGACGAGGGCTCCATGACGAGACAACAGGACAAATGTGTAAAAGTGAGGTTTTCCAGAGGGCAAATAGCAGAGATGATGTGTGTGGAGGAGGACAGGCCTGGACTGGTGGGACTCCTCCACCATGAACCTCTGAGACTTAGGTAAACACCTCCATCTGCCTCACACCTTTCAACGCACACACACACACACACACACACACACATGGAAATGTGTGTGTGTGTGTGTGCACGGCTGTTGGGCATCAAGCCCCAGCTTGAGCACCAGATCTGTTTGTTTACCCATCGTATCACAGTTGGGTCTGTAGACTGAAGACTAGGGGCTGTAGACTGAAGACTGAAGACTGGGGTCTGTAGACTGAAGACTGAAGACAGTGGTCTGTAGACTGAAGACTGAAGACAGTGGTCTGTAGACTGAAGACTGAAGACAGTGGTCTGTAGACTGAAGACTGAAGACAGTGGTCTGTAGACTGAAGACTGAAGACAGTGGTCTGTAGACTGAAGACTGAAGACTGAAGACTGGGGGCTGCAGACTGTGGTCTGCAGACTGGGGGCTGCAGACTGGGGGCTGCAGACTGAAGACTGAAGACTGGGGTCTGTAGACTGAAGACTGGGGTCTGTAGACTGAAGACTGAAGACAGTGGTCTGTAGACTGAAGACTGAAGACTGAAGACTGGGGGCTGCAGACTGTGGTCTGCAGACTGGGGGCTGCAGACTGGGGGCTGCAGACTGAAGACTGAAGACTGGGGTCTGTAGACTGAAGACTGGGGTCTGTAGACTGTGGTCTGTAGACTGTGGTCTGTAGACTGTGGTCTGCAGACTGGCATCAGGCGTCTCCTCCTGAGCTCAGCTCTGTGTGATTTACTGATACAGTGAATATGGTTTCATCCAATCCTCCAGTGAAAACCTCACCATAAAAACCTGTAAAAAGTCTGACATTCCGTCGATGTGATTGGCTCTAAAAGGTATGACCTCGCATTGATGCCTCGACTCAGAGAAGAAGAGAAATAATATTTGATTCATTTGACACTAATAACAGACAAATCAACGACAACAGCTTCACTAATTTAGTCCCAAATGAACTCAATCTGACTGTCGGCCACTGAGAGCAGGTCTTATATCCTGTGTGGTTTGGAGTCAGTACTTGTTGTCAAGAAAAAGTCTGGCACGTCTGCCCTGCTGAGAGTCTTTACAACATCAGGGCTGAGCGAACCATCTCCTGTTGGATCTTTGGATCTTTGGATCTTTGGATCTTTGGATCTTTGCATCCTGTTACATCCACACACACATCACCCTCAGGGCGACCTGCGTCTTACTTTGTTAAATGGTAAATGTTTGCATGACAGCGTTCCATTATCAAAGAAACACATGAGAGACAGCGGAGCTGCCGCTGTCACAGTCCAACAGGGGGCGGTGATCGGCAGCCGAGGACAAGACGAGACACGGGCGCTCTGTTCGCCTTCAAACGCATCGGGTTCTCTGCTGCTGACGGGGATCGTGCACGTGCGGTCACACCGCTGGGCTAACGTAGGCACCAGCGTGCACGTGGCTCCTGTACGGACGCCGGAGTGAGCACCGAGGTTCAGGGGCAGCCTGGTGGACGTGCACACACATGCGGGTGGACGTGCACACACATGCGGGTGGACGTGCACACACATGCAGGGTATGCGTAGAGTCAGAGCAGCTGCAGTTCGACAGTTCAACACTGATCTGATGTGGAGTCTGAACAAGTCCTGGGACGTGAGGTGAAGGTGAAGGTCAAACTCTGACCCTGACCCACAGTGACCATCGTAAACGGACGTCACTGGTCCATCACCTGTTCTGGGCCCATCAATCAGACAATCCTGTCCCCACCGCACGGCTGCAGATCGGCTCTTCACACATGAAACCCTCAGGGTCAGGGTTCACTGACGTTCTAAACTCTCTTTTGTTCCTTGAAGAAATGGAACTGGGCCTAAATCTTCCAGAACTCCAGAACACAGACTTCTGTCGGTGCCGTGTTTGGACACCAGTAAACACTGACTGAAAGAGTTTCTGAATGAAGGTCCTGCCAGAGAACAGCTGCTCAGTGATCGCAGCCAGAACAGACAAACACAGGAGCGTCCAGGAACGTCCAGGACAGAACGTCCAGGACAGAACGTCCAGGAACGTCCAGGAACGTCCAGGACAGAACGTCCAGGAACGTCCAGGAATGTCCAGGACAGAACGTCCACGTACATGTTGTCTCTGTCCAGCCGGTCGCCTTGGGGGAGACAACCTCAAAACAACCCAGACCAGCAGAGAATAAACGTTGACAAACACCAAGCAGAGACACCGATGATCTAACAAGGACCACAGAGGTCCACAGACCAGGGTTTGGACTCCCAGGACGGGGAGGATCAGACAACAGCACCTGTATGTGTGTGTGTCAACTGGTGACTGCTGTGTGTGTGTGTGTGTGTGTACTGACAGAAACAAGAACAAATGTTTAGTCCAGACCCCCATCCCCCCCCACAGAGAGGTGGGGGACAGGGAGACAGTCAGACAGACAGACAGACAGACAGTCAGACAGTCAGACAGACAGTCCGGCCGGCAGGCAGAA